AGAGATTTGGAGGAATCGGATTGCGAGAACGACGAAGCTTTGGAGCCAGAGCCTCATGCAGCTTATACCACGGGCCTCGGCGAACGAGCAGCCTGCCGTTTTAAATAAACTCGAGACCGCCCTTATCGTTTCTGCTCTTCGAAACACGTGCATCACGGACTTTTTGGAGCAAAAAAAGTTTGTTTTCACTCGCAACTTTTTCAAAAGCTATGTTTCATTTACTACGAACTTCGGGATATAGGGAACGGATGCCGCGTCACGCTCAGGTTCGTTATAAGCGGGCTCAACTGTACCAGCTAGAGCCGCCAGCGATGGCCGCACTACTGAAAGCTGCGTGTATTAAAATTGAATTGTGGCTGCTCGGACCAGAAAGCCCGTTTTTATTAATGAGACGAATTTTGAAAAATCACACAAAATTTTTGAATTCGCTTCCTTGCTACCTCGAGTTCTAGAAGATAGGGTATCTTTTGTTGTTGTTTTACCGCAACAGCGATTAAAAACGCGTATGCGCTGGTAGAAGGAATTAAGAAAAAGCTCTTCTGTACGATGATCCATAAAGTATATTAAGTATATGTACGATGATCCAGAAAAAGTATATTAAGGGAATAGTGTCGAACACGAAGCACGGAATAAGTTAAAATTGCTTTAATTACGTGCTGTGCAACTCTTCAAAAGAGCTATCAGCAGCGTTTCTGGAAGGGACGACATCTGTTGAATCGCTGCCACAGTTTCACGCTACCCATTGTACTAGATGTCATGAGCTCCTGCAGGTACTGCGTTTCGCCATTAAGCAGACTTGCACAACAGAAATTGCGTCGGCACAAAACACAGTATTAAGAATTAGGATGCATGTGCGACCGCTGTTTATTCAGCGGAAGAATTCTAGGTTCTTTATTGACTTTGGTGGGCCTGAGAATAAGTTGCACATGTCTTGACGTGCCGGCGTGTCTTTTGCCAGTGATAGATGCTCGCAAACCTGACTTTTGTGCAGTTTAGCGCAATTCCCCTCGATATTATCAGGATGGCGCAGTAAGTTTGATTTGACACACTCTAGTGCAGTTGGTGCAGGAGTGGGATCACTGCCTATTCTTGAAGCGTGCTGGTGCCCAATGTGGCAATTATCAGTGTTGTGTGGGATTTGCTTATTATCGCACCTGATTTTGATTCTTTGTACATTCATGACATGCTTTTCACTCCAGCCCTCGAGCAGTTCGCTCTCTGACAAGTTAAGCAAGTCTTGGTCATGTACTACTCCTCCCGAGCTGTTAATAAAATGGAGTGGGGTGACTAAAACAGGTGTGGTTTTGATCGAGGAATGTTTAGACAGTTCTTCAAATCGTGCTTTGTTGTTAACTTCGTTGTTAATTTTGTTAATCTCCGAAAAAGAAAATCTGTCACGAGCCTCTCAATTAACGGCACAGTTAAAAGTGACAACAAAGAAATGGCAAACATGCTAAATAACTATTTCTGCTCTGTGTTCACTCACGACGATGGCAATCGTCCACATTTTTCGACGTTTGAACAAACAGCCCCTCTTGATGATATCACTATCAGTGAGGATGAAATTTTATCGCTTTTGCTTAAACTTGACATCAAAAAACCTTCAGAAATAGATGGAATCCCAAACGCATTTCTACACCAATATGCTGAGTGGTGCGCAAAATCTTCAAAATCCAACAGACTGGAAATCGCAAAATCCAACAGACTGGAAATAAGCCAGAATAACCCCGATACCCAAAAAGGGTGACCCATCATCTGTTGCATCCTATAGGCCAATTTCCCTTCTCTGCACTTGTGTGAAAGTATTTGAACATATTATTTTCAAACATATTTCAAGCTTCATTGAAGAAAACAAATTAATCAATGGTCACCAACTTGGATTCTGACGAGGAGTTTCTACGACAACACAACTGCTTGAGAGCATTCACGACTTCGCTCCAGTGCTGGATAATTCTGGTCAGGTCGATATCATATTCCTTGACTTCGAGAAAGCTTTTGACCGTGTATCACACTCTAAACTTCTTTTAAAACTAGAACCTATTCTCAAAAACGATTCCATTCTTGCATGGATAACCGCATACCTGTCCTCTAGAGAGCAATCTGTGTCCATTGATCACGTCAACTCAGATTCTGTCTCCGTCCATTCCGGCATTCCCTAAGGCTCCGTTCTTGGGCCGTCATTCTTTTTGATCTTAATAAATGACATCGCTCAAGACATAACAGCAAAAATCCGTTTATTTGCAGACGACTGCATCTTATATAAAGAAATCCGCAGTTCTCACGATCTGCTTTGGCTTAAGCAATCATTATCCCAAATTCAAAACTAGTGTACCTCGTGGCAGATGCAAATAAACCACACTAAAATGGTACCAATGGCAATCACCTGTAAGAACAATCCCCTCAATTTCACTTATAGTATCAGCGGCAATACCCTACCTGTAGTCTTGAATTATAAATACTTGGGAGTTGTCATTACAGCTGACCTTCAATGGAATGATCACGTCACCTACATACAGAAGAAGGCCATGTGGCAACTAGGGTACTTACAGCAAACGCTTTCGAAGGCTTCAAGGGATGTGAAGCTCTTGGCTTACAAAACATATATAAGACCAACACTCGAATATGCTACATCAGTATGGTACCCACACACAAATATAAGTCAACTAGAAAATATTCAAAGAAAGGCAGCTAGGTTTATTTTCAATTTATACAGTTGGAAAACATCGCCTAGCGCTCTATAACTTCAGCAAATCTAGAATCTCTACAAAGTCGACGCTATCGCGAAAGGCTAAAAATATTTTATTTGATATATCATGACAAGTTTGAAATCAGCAAAAGCACGTACTTGAAACCTTTTACGCAACAGGGTCCCACTCGACTTTTTCACTCAAAAAAGGTCAGCAAAACTATGCGCGAAACTAACTCTTACGTGGATTCTTTTCCCCCCTGTACAATCAAAGATTGCAACATGAATTCTTTTTCCCCCCGTACAATCGGAGATTGCAACCGTTTGGCCAGAGAAATAATTGAGTGCCCTTCTGTTTGTGCATTCACTGTCGCAATTCAAGGGATGTTATGATAGCGCTCTTATCACTAGTGCTGTAGCAATCTACCATAAGAGCTTCGCTCATGAGTCACTTCGCTCTATGTATTCTTTTAGAGGCGAAGCTCCTTAAAGCGGCACCCCTTCGTCCCTCGTCGTAGTACGTAACATGTCTTACGCTTTGACCTGCAAGGTGGTGCCGGTGAGAGATTTCTCCTGTGCGTTGTTGAACAATAAAAAATGTGTGCGCATTAACTAACAGCCGAATTCTCTTGTGTCTCATTCCCATTTAGCAGCCACTGGCATGTACATTGAGCACTATCTGATAAGAAAGGGTTGCTACGTTATACTCGCTGAGTGTAACCTCCTTGGTTTTAGAAAGATCTAGCGAGCGTTAGGCCGCAGTTCCATGAATACAGTGAACTAGTATATACCATGAACTCGAGGTGTTTAAAGGTGGGAAGTAGACACGAAGCGCAAGCCGTAAGAAAGTGTACATGTGCCATCTCTCGTTTAGTCCTTGGAATGTCCGCTGGATGGCGGCGCTTCTATATGCGGAATATATGATGAAAAGGTGCGAGATGGTAGCATTTGGAGTGTTGACTAGATGAACGAACGGACACACAGACAGATGCATGGACGGACGCACAGATGGCTGCATGGACGGATGGACGAACGCAGGGGCGTATGCATGGACGAATGCTGGGGCGGACGCACGCACGGACGGTCACACAGACGGATGGAAGCAAGAACGAATGAACGAAGGATGCTTTGCCCCACTCTCCATCATTCAGCCAGTGGATATGCTGTCATGTTTATTTTTTTTCAGTTATACCTCTGACAATACAGAGTGTGTTAAAATGTAAAAGTCTCTCAACATACACTTGTTTTCTTTTTCTATGATTTGAAGCATTAGACAATGCATTGCATCAAGTGTCACTACTTATGTTGGCATGCCCATTGTTCGCCATTACATATCAGATTATTGTACTGCAGTGCCACATCTCACACACCATTTGATTCTTCTTGCTGTTTTGTTTGTAAGCTCCTTTTATTATTCATGTGCATTTCCACAGAAAATGTAATGCCTCCACTCCTGCTTAAGGCCTGGAAATTCAGGTCAGCAGTATTGAATAAATAAATAAAGTAAATGAAGATCTCTACTAGCCATTCTTGTGGCCTTGTAACTCCAGCCTAGTGTTTTGGTAAGGCATTTGGACACTATAAAGAGGGAGATTGTTCTGGCATTCTTGTTGACTGTTTTGCACTGAATTACATGTAACTGTAAAAAAAGCTTCTTGGGGATTCATGAAAAAAAAATATTTTCAGTCAATTCAGTACGGCCCCTCTTTGAGTGAGGACGATCATTAAGTCAACAAAAAGAGGTGGAAGCCATACAATAAGAGTATTTTCGGCAGCCATGCCAGCCCCCCAAACAAAAAGCCCAACATGGGGACGCGACATCTCTTACGTTTATATCAAGGCATGCCAACCCCAGCTGTACACAGCTACTATAACCGTATATAATGTGGCCAAGAGAGAACACACACAAGGTCAATTCTTGCTGCCAGGAAACAGGAAAGTAAGTGGGAGAGAGAAAAGGACAAGAAAGATAAAAAGAGCAAAAAAGACGAGGATGAGGAGAGAGAGATAAGAAAAGGGGACTGGCGGTTTCCCCTGGGTGGGGTCAGCCCAGTGGTGCCGTCTACGTCAGGCCAGGGCCAAAAGGGTGTACTGCCTCTGTCAAGAGCAGAGGCAACACACCCCTCTGATTCAAACACCCGAAGTCAGCTCAACCCTCAGAATCCCCTTTTCCCCGGACACAGCTAAGCCACGCAAAGGGAAGCGTGGGAGGAGGTCGAAACACCCCCATCGGCTTGGGTCCGTGGTGACGCCACTCACCAAACACCTGCTTGCGCAGACACCCCTACGGGGCATATCACCAAAGTTGACCTACCTGGATCCTCCCAGGGGTCACCATACTTGGCACGAGCAGCCCTCCGACGGCGCCGGAAAAAAGAGGTGCGGCTGGTGTCGGCATCTCGGCGTCTGGCCTGCAGAGCGGCCAGTTCCTCAGCATTTGCAGCATTGGGGATGAGGCCACGTTGAATCTCTTGATGGTTGCGGCTAAGCCGGTATGCAAGCCAACTGCCGAGAGTGCCATTGTGAAGTGTGTCTACCACATGAAAAACTTCACCTGGGTGCAGTGCCAGCTCGCCCTTGTTAGAGGGCTCGTGACTGAAGTGTGCTCGCACATGGAATGAGTCTCCCTTTTGGGTGCTCACCACTTCCTCGTACTCTTCCCTAGCTGTCTGCACAAACAGCTGCACGGGGCCCTGGAGCTGCAATAGGAGCTGGACTGCTTCCTCACGTGTCGCCCACCGCACGTCTACACCATTCACCTGCATTTTTTACTTTTACACAACTGGGGTCTAAAACAATAAATGTTCTTCTCCATGCATTTCAAAAAAAGCCATCACAAAGCAAGCCACTAAGCGAGACTAGAGCAAGCATCAACGAAATAGTACACAATTCAGATTATTGTGCTCATTGAAAGGTGACAGGAACAAGCGCGCTTTCATTCGTTGGACATGATGAAGTTATACCTTGAAATCAGCACTGAAGAATGTTTTTACATGCTGCTGTATTTACTCGCATAATCCCAGCACTTTTTTTTAACAGACAGCCGATCAATATTTTGAGGACGCAGAAATTATGCGAGAAATTTTCTGTGAAAATGTAAAAAGTGAAAAACAAAATGAAGCACTCACAAATTGCGATTCTAATGCCAGCAACTAATTACAAGCTTTGACATGTATCAATTAAGACTTCAAAACATGTTCGACACAAAGCAATATTTCTTTGGAGACACTGCAGCCGCTAGCAAATAGTGTCTCAAGGATTTTGGAGCAGAGACCCTTCCCGTATTCAAGAGGGACAACATCTAACTGTGGATATTTCCGAATCGTAGGCCCATGAAAGGCCAGACGCACCTTGTTGTTTACTTTCAGCTGCTCGTTCTACTGTCGCCACTGGCGAACAGAAAACTGCTTGATTCAAAAGATCCTGTCGGCAACTTTGCAGGGGCGCAGCCAGAAATTTTTTCACGATGAAATGGGGGGGGGGCACCGCCTTGACATTAGGGAGGGCACCCCCTTCAAGTGAAGGGAGGGGGAGAAGGAGGGCACGGGCTTATTGTGCCACTTCTTGGCTGCGCCCCTGCCCTGTTGCCATTGTTTAGTACACGATTGTTCACTTTGCTGAGTAACTCAGGGTATGAATTGCAACTCATGATTACTGAATTAGACAAGCAGAGCAGAAAAGTAGGTCTTAAAATTATTCTGCAGAAAATGAAAGCAATGTACAACAACCTCGGAAGAGGGCAGTGCTTCGAGATAGGTAATAGTACACTTGAAGTTGTGAAAGACTATGTCTACTTAGGACAAGTAATAACTGCAGAGCAAAACCAAGAGATTGAAGTAACTAGAACAATAAGAATGGGATGGAGCCCATTTGGCAAGCAAGCACTCTTAAATCATGACTGGTAGACTGCCACTATCCCTCAAGAGGAAGGTATATAAAAGCTGCATCTTGCCAGTACTTACCTATGGAGTAGAAACTTGGAGGCTTACAAAAAGAGTTCGCCATAAATTGAGGACGACGCAGTGAGCCGTGTGAAAGGAAAATGATAAATGTAACCTTAAGAGACAAGAAGAGAGCAGAGTGGATTAGGGAACAAACGGGGGTTAAAGATATCATAGTTGAAACGAAGAAAAGAAAATGGACATGGGCGTAGACAGGATATCGCGTAGATAGACAGCATATAGCGCGTAGACAGGATAGCCACTGGTCATGAAGGCTACTGACTGGATTCCCAGAGAAGGCAAGGGGGTTAGGGGGAGACATAACATTGCACACACTTTCACTCGAGTGACTTCAGGCATAGTATAACTGACGCATTGAATAACACGTTCAGAGCTTCAGATCCAAAAAGAAAGTCACAGTGAAAAGAAGTCTTTCTCTGAGACTGTCGCCCAGTTAGCCAGGGAACATAAAAATAATAATACACACACACACACACACACACACACACACATATATATAGTCGTAATAGTATACTTGATCTTTGCTTGTAAAAAAAATGGTTCCATTTAATCTATATGTGACCTACACAGCATGCCAGGTTTCTAGTGCTGTACGTGCTTTCCTTTTACCCTCTATGGACATAAGAGGAATGTGTTCTACACCTTTGCAATTGCCTGTGCCATTGTTAAATGTTACGGCACGTTTTGATGGGTTTCGTCTTGCAATTGTACAAAAGCAGGTCTGTTGTTTAGAGATTTAAAATTATGGTAATATGTTTTTCTGGTGACTGCCTTTCAGTGATGAAAAAGTACTTTATGTGGTCAACTAGGTAAAGCACTAACAGGGACAAGGTAAAGCAAACAAGCACTAACAAGTGTGTTCGTAATTTTTTGTTAATGATGTAAATGGTCTGCCTTTGTGACATTCTCATTAAGCTGCTTATATTTATTGCAGAGTTTGCTGCTGCCAGCCACCCCTCCCATGGTGGAACAACTTTGGATATTGAGCAAGTTGCCCCGCCGCGGTGGTCTAGTGGCTAAGGTACTCGGCTGCTGACCCGCAGGTCGCGGGTTCGAATACCGGCTGCGACGACTGCATTTCCGATAAAGGCGGAAATGTTGTAGGCCCGTGTGCTCAGATTTGGGTGCATGTTAAAGAACCCCAGGTGGTCGAAATTTCCGGAGCCCTCCACTACGGCGTCTCTCATAATCATATGGTGGTTTTGGGACGTTAAACCCCACATATCAATCAAATCAATATTGAGCAAGTAATTAAATTGTGCCTCTGGCACTCCAAGGATCATAAAAGGCAATAGGGGATGACAGTGCCTTAGTGATATTATATTGTTTATCATTGTCTTATTTTATACACTTACAATTTTGACAGGTCCCTATCAGTTTCATGAAAAAAATATTAATAAAACCATGTGCTGTTAATGAATCTACATAACGAATCATCTTATTCTATTACACAATAGTAGCAAGAATAGTTTGTTTTTTTAGCTTACCTGTAATATGTTCAATTAAAGGGGCAACGATTGCTGCATGTCTGCAGTTTCAGCCACAGCACTACCACTGCAACATCAATATTGGCTCTTTCAGAAGTGAAAACCGCTAGTAGCAAACTTAACATTGCTTCAAAGGAAGAAAGCGTTTGCAGGTCTCAGTGAAAATATTCCTCTTGTGTTTACATGACAAAAAAGGACTAGTACACCCTATAGCTTCTACAAAATTCTGTATTTACTTGCATTAGGGATCATCAGACAATCAATCCAACCCCTACATTTACTCTTAACGCATTGTTAAAAAAGAAATAAAGAAAAGAAATTATGTGTCTGACGTTTAGAGTTGAGCATGCTTGGTCTGAACAAAGGGCGAGTGGCATCACATCATTGTGTGCTCGCAGATTCTGCCTTTCAACTCAAACCTAGGTGGTACCAATGTAGAACACAACTTTTAGGTCAATTGTGATTTGTTTCTGCTTTAATTTATTTATTTATTTATTGGGGGTGAGTATGACTTACTAGTTGACGGATAGTGTGTGAGTTGAAAGTTTAGCAGAAGTTACTACTAAACCGCCTGCGCTCCACTCTCGACCCGAGTGCATGCTTCCAACACAACAGGCAAGGTCCACTAGGCACACAGCACACACATTGTAGCAAAACGTGTTTGTCGTTGCTTACATCTCAACTTATTTACCAGCATCTTTGCAAGTTCACAGTGTGCTAGGCACACAGCACACACATTGTAGCAAAATGTGTTTGTCATTGCTTACATCTCAACTTATTTACCAGCACCTTTGCATGTTCACAGTGTGCTACAGTTTAAATAAAAGCTCAACCGAATTCGTCCGAACTAGTGAGGGCACGACAATATAAAGTAATGTGTACATCGACCACAGACATAAGAGGAATGTGTTCTACACCTTTGCAATTGCCTGTGCCATTGTTATCATTTTTTTTAAATAGCACAAGCAAAGGTCAAATTAAGAAGTTTTTACTCATTTGCATTGTACTGTTAAATCTCACTCTTGTAAAAAAGTTTGAGCATTTCTTTCCTCAGTATGATAAACCATTTCGTCAAATCAACACAAGCTTTTCTAGAAACATTCTTTCAATAATGACTTGAAGATGTGGCTTTGATCTTGGCAGTCCCATTTCAATGGAGGTAGAAGGCACGTCTACAATGTGGGTGCACAATGAAAAACACCAAATAGTAAGAATTGCCAGAGCACTCCACTACGACATGCCTCATAATGATATCATAATATATTATTATTATCCATATTATGCCTTCATCGAAATGCCGCTCAAACAGCTGTGAATCAATCCTGCCATCTTGTGCTCAGTGCTGAAATATCTTAGGTGTCTGAGCCAATGCGCCATGTGGGAATATGTTGCTGTGAAGAGAACTTAGCTTTCTAAATGAATAAGAGTGACAGTGAACTTGCATTTTGTTTTCCTTAGTTATTTTGAATAATTTTCACTTTCTTTGACTGCTTTCCTATGAACAGCATGCATGTAGCTGGAAAATAGCTTTCTATCCTAGCTATTGCTCTTGTGCATTAGCCTGAAGAAAATTTCTTAATGTAACAGGTAACCTCCAAGGCAGCAAAAGAGTTTGAAGCATAAAAGTGGATGGTCATGACCCCACTGAATACAACACTCCCTAGGGGCATGCTATATACTGTTTTGTTATATCACAGCTTGTATTTTTTCGTTTGTATCTACTGTGCCTGCCAATACACTATTTCTAGAATTTTCCATTCAAGTATATATGTAAACCTGAACATGCCAATGTATGTATGGGACACCTAGTCGCAGTGTGCAATGTACGTGCTTTGTACTTGGTTCTTAAATAAAAAAGTTGTGTGTTTGCGTGCTCATTTTTTAGCACAAGTGCATGTTCAGCATAATTAAAATGAAAGTGTTGAAATTTCGCAAGTACGAATCACGAGTTTTTCTGTGCTTTCAGGTGCTAATTTATTAGTTTGTCTGGTCAAAAATGCACTCTGGTACAATAATTTGTGCTTTAGTCTAGCTTTAGCAATTTCAGTGCATCTGCAGAAGAACTATAAAAATTCGCATCTGAAAGCACAACAAATCATATGCATCGTTCGAACTTAGGATTGCCACCTGCCCGGTGTTGGACCGGCTGGACCGTTTTTTTACACAAGGGGCCAGTCATTGGTTCGCACCTAAGACCAGTCGTCATTGGCCAGTTTTTCGCTCATCGTATTCGAAATATTTTGTTTTTGCTCTTCTCCGTGTTCGCCGCACGCGTTGATTAAGCAATTCCACCTGTGCGGTCGGGGACTG